TCATGCTTGACTTTCCAAACACTCACAGTGGCAGGCCCCAACTAATACTGTTGGTAATACGGGAGTGCTCTTATATCAAACCTGTCAATAACCTCCCTAAATTTACATTCGACAGATAAAGAGCGGAAATGGAAATGCAAGGTTGACTATAATAATCTTTATCATGATTGAGGAAATTTTTCAAAATGTGGTTTTCGAAAAGGACCTCGAAAGGATTTAGATGAACATTCTCGTATTTCCTATCATTAATTACCTTTCAAAAGTTGACTTTCGCACAATTTACCAGTATGCTTCTTGTTAAGAAAACATATGAAAACTCTAGCAAGGCCGCACATGGTCAGACTTCTCAAATGATTGGAACCCGTGATTTCATGAGACTTTCCCATGGAGCACTATCATTGTTTAAGGGGGAGGTAACACGGTCACGATTTCTGTAATGAATAAGTCATTACAAAGAAATAACCGAATTCAAACCTTTGAAAGACCACGGACCATTTTCTGAATGCTTTTAAAATTGAGTCGCTAAAGGTCCCTTTTCACGCTCGTAAATAACGCGTTGTTAACTATACAAGAAATAGGGTAATAGTCAACGTACTACAAATCCATGGATAAGCATTTACTTTATTCTTTGATTTTTCGAAAGCGTGGCCATAAATAAACCAATAAACATTAGTGTGTGTGTCGTGTATGTGTAGGAATTCTAAAATTTCCAAAAACCGCGTTTTCTTGTCTGATTTTCTGCGGGGTTCCGTTAAAGGCGCAATTGATGACCTGGAGGAAAGAATCCATCAGATCTTTTGGCCTATCCTCTCAGTTTCTTTTACAACGTTGCTTTAACTGAATGGGCGCATACTTTATTTTTATTTTCCAAAAGCGCGGCTATAAATAAACGAATTAATCTTCTTACGTATGTTATGTATGTGTAAAAATTCTAAGAAATTCCAAAACCGTGTTTGCTTTCCTGATTTTCTGCGTGGGTGCAATGAAAGCGTAATTAATTACTTAAAGAAAAAAATCCATCTTGTTAATCCTTTCAGCTCTTTTCACACCGTTGCTGGAACAATTGTGGGAAAAAACCATTTTGAGACATCTTGAAAAAACGCCGTACGCTCATTCGAGAATTGTCCCCCAGTCTTGGTTATTCTCACAAGCCTGGCATTGTTTCATTCAGAGCTATGTACTCTCAGACGCCTCCATCTGCGCTGTCATTACTGATTTTGTGCACCACTGACGCACTGTCACGTGACGAGGAAGACCTATTTTTTCTTTTCCGATGATACTTGTACATTAGGATAGTGGAAAGGACAAGCAGGAAGCACAAACATGCCAGAAAACCTACCAAAATATTACACCTCATTTCCCTTAGTAACACATTTTCTTTTTCGCGATCATCTTTTTCAGGATCATCTGAAAGAAGAAGACGTTAAATTTGTGATCTCTCTATTAAATAAATAAATAAATAAATAAATAAACTTTAATAGCTAACACAATTACTGGTAACCCAGTAGTTTACATTGTGGGCTATAAACAAATAATTCAAATTGAACATAACATTGTTAAGAATCCCAACTGGCCGGAGGCAAACCAGTTGGCTATTTACAAGCATGGCCGAGGATTTGAACTCGGAGCCACCGTGAAACAAATTCAGGTAGTGGTCAGGGCGGGACTCGAACCCGGGAGCGACGGATTGCGAGTCCGACACGCTGACCACTCGGCCACGCTGCCTCC